CTTCTGACACTCAGGATGGGTGAGATGTGCATCTTCCCACAGTGTTCACAGGCAGGGCATACAGAGCCAGGTAGTTTGTATGCAGTTCTACTTGTAATTCACTGCAGAATTTGACTTATTAGTCATAAAATAATTAAGGAATTAAAGACTCAAATTTATTTTTCTTTCCTTGACATTACATTTTTGATGGAATAGTAATAGATTCAGAATTCCAAAAGCTGAGGATAAAAAAACTCCAGACAATGAACTAAACAGAAAAAGAACCCCATGATACCTTGGTATCGTATATGTAGTCTGCCTTTAAAATGTTACAACAATAAGCTTTCTATGAAGTATTAGCCTAACACATCAAAAGGTCACACAGATACACAGTCATACTTTCAAATTACTGTTATTTCTTAAAATTAACAATTCTTAAGAGCTACTTTCAGCTTCAGTAGATTTGTATCTGTAAAATGACAGGGTACCTCTTTGAAACTTTCAGTAAAACTTTAGAGGAGAAAAAGAAAAAAAAAACAATCCTGAACCAAATGAAGCTTATTTTGATGTTTTTCCTAAGAATCAAGATAAAGGACTAAACTCAAAAGAAACAAAGGAAAAAAAAATTTTAAAAACCCCCTACACACTATGCTATATGTTATACCTAAGCAAGGTTTAATTGAGCTAGAACTTTGGCTTTCGCTTATTGATAAAATATAAATATACACATTTAGATATTCAAGTTCAATTGATATTTCCTCCAAATGCAACTTTTCCAGGGCCAAGTAATCCCTGTTAATGTTTGACATTTTAACTGAGGTAAAAAATGCAAGCAGCACTACAAGGGTCTATTTAAACTACGTGATTTTTCCCCCCTAAGTATCTCAAAATAAGGAGAACATCAAATATAAGAAAGAAAAAGTTACTTAAAATATGCTATATATTCATATTAGATTGCTTACTGCTTTCCTTTTAGCCACACCCACCTTTATGTAATTGTAAAATATGAGAACAGTGCAGCTGAGAAATAAGAAAGCTTAAAAGAACAGTTGTTTCATGTAGTCAAATATGTGCTAAGCACAGATTTTAACTAAAATGAAAAACAAGTATAAATTGCATGCTATTGAACATGACTAGTGGGGAAAAATGCACACGCACCTGTACAATACTGATTTATAGGGGTTTTTTTGTAAATTAGCCATGAGTCAGGACAGTTATTTCATTGAAAGTGAAAGTCAGTATTAGTTAGTGCACTTCCACAGCGGAGTGTGTAAATCTCTTCAAATTCTGATATTTCAAAGTATACACAGCTACAGTGAAACAGCTTTGTGCACATTCCCATACTGACTGTCAAAAACATTTCTGAAAAAACTCTGAAAGTAATGATGCAGAGCTAAAGAAATGAGTGCTAAACCTCAATAGGATCTTACTAGTATCTCAATTTCAAGGATTAAGTGGAATTTTCTATCAGGGCACAAAGGTATGAATTGCGGAGACAAACTAAGCAGCTATTCCCAGGGAAAAAATAACTGAAAAAGTGTAATTTATGTACTGGATTAAAAGAATCCAGGCAAACTAGGGATTTAAGACAGAAAAATCTCCTTGAACTGTTGGATTTCTGCATTACACAGAAAATACCTTGAATCACAATCCAGTTGCCATGCTGGAAACGCTAAGTTTTGCATTTCACTTTAAGACTACAAGCTCTCAGCCATGTACACAGAAATCTTTTGTACAGCACTTCTGCACCCCAACTCTTCTCTACGTCCCTCCTACGTCCCTCGGTTAACTCGTTATTTTCGGTGCCCGGGGTGCTTCAGCGCAAGGCGGCCGCTTCTGGCTTTGAACGCGGCGGAGGGATGCGCGGGGGGGCGG